ATCACTTGCATGTTGTTGAATACTTTTTTATTTTATTTTTTTAACTTTATAAAATGTTATCGATGCATGTTCTAGTTTAGGGTTTTTATTTTTTACAGTTTCCTTGATCTTGTTTGTATAAGTTAAGTTTTTTTTAATATTTTAAGATGTTTTCATTTGTTCTAAATGGGTAGAGATTAATTTTGGTTGTCTGGATTCTGCAATATGCACTCTAGTTGAATCTCCTCGATTCAGTTGAGTGAATCGAGATTCACTGTGGTGAATCGAGATTCACTGTGGTGAATCGAGATTCACTAGAGTGAATCGCGATTCATTGGATGAATCTCTATTCACTCAAGTGAATCGCTATTTAGTGGAGTCAATTTGTATTCACTCAAACATAGAGAATCTCGATTCACTAATGTGAATCCTTCGTAGAGAATTGAGATTCATATATTGGATGTTCTTACCAGTTACGAAAAAATGATTGCTCTTTAAACTTCAACTTTATCATCCGAGGCCGAGTATATAGGATGGAAACTTTCCCAAATATGATCCGAGGTCGAGTATATAGGATGGAAAAATTATATGCTTTATGTATAATATCAGTGAAATTAAATTATAACGATAATCAATTTTTCCTTGTTGTGTTGAGGGACGATACACTGAAACAATGTATGGTATGTCATGGATTTGGTTTCATATCATTGAATCTGGATTCAATTTGCTGAAGCTCGATACATTTTGTTGAATCTGGATTCAATTTGCTGAATCTCAATACATTTGGTTGAATCCACTATAGTGAATCGAGATTCACTCAAGTGAATCTCGATTCACTACAGTGAATCTCGATTCACTACATCGATTCAATGGAGTGAATTGAGATTCACTCAAGTGAATCGCGATTTAGTGGAGTGAAACGAGATTCATTTCAGCGAATCTCGATTCACTGGAGTGAATTGCGGTTCAGATTATAATATCTTGATTCAATAATGTGATTCAACCTTCATGCTTGCCATGCATTATTCAAAGTCTGGTCTCATTAAAAAATGAATTGTCATCGGTTTAACAGGTCTACGATCTAGCTCAAGGAACAAGCAAACAGCATGTGTTGGGATTGTTGAGGTATTTACACCTATACCTCAACAGAGGCAAACACGCACTGTGAACATGCACAGCAATGACGATGACTTCATCAACCCACCAAATAATCCTGTCGGTGAGGAAACATCAAAGCGTACAAGGGATGAAGACAATGAACAGACCCCAAAAAGGATGAAGACGAAAAGGGTTGGTGTACTAAACATCTCTTTTCACTTGAGCGAATCTCGATTCACTACATTGAATCGAGATTCACTACCGTAAACATCTTGGTGTACTAAACATCTTTACTTTTTTTTTGTGTATTCAATGATGGATAATTTGATCTAATTATATTATTTTTCTCACTGGAGAAGGTTGTGAAAAAAAATATGTGAGGTCCAACAGTGACGATGACCTCGTCAACTCCCCAAATAATCCTGTCGGTGATGAAACATCAAAGCGTAGGAGGGATGAAGACAATGAACAGATCACAAAAGGAAGGAAGAAGATGAAAAAGGTTGGTGTACTAAACATATTTTTTTTTTGTATTAACTGATGGATAATTCGATCTACTTATATTTTTTTGTCACTGGAGAAGGTTTTGAAAAAAAATGTGAGGTCTGAACCTAAGGAGTTGACTAGGATACGGGTCTCTCCAAAGATATTCTCTGATATGGTTTTGTCACTCTCTGACTCCCAAAAAGAATGGGTGAGACTAGCTGGACTTGGAGGTCTTTTACAATTTGGATTAAAGGAACTGCCACATATGTTGGGGTACCAGATTCTGCAGTCCTTTGACAGTGAATCCGTTGCGCTTAATCTTCCCAGAGGATCAATCAGTATCACAGAGGAAGATGTACATCAAGTGATGGGATTACCTCTAGGCAGGAAGCGTATACCAGCTTCCAGTACTGGCAAGTCAGCATTGGTGGATGAATGGAGGGGTCAATTCACAGACAGATTTGGTTGGAAAATTACTCCAGGGGCTGTGTCTGAGAAACTGAAGCACAGTTCTGATGTTAACCTGTTTTTTAAACTGAATTTCTTGGTTCTCTTGCACAACAGCATTATCCAATCGCTTAACAATCCGTATGTCAACCAACGGATTCTAGTACTTGGTGATAATGTTGATCAGTGCTCTCAATACAATTGGTGTTCTTTATTACTTGACTCAATGATAGATAGCCAACACAAGTGGAAGGTTGACCCGACAAAACAATTCTACACGGGTCCTCTTGCATTCTTGATTGTAAGCCACTTGTATAATATTGATTTATTTTTACATTACTGTAGTTAAAGTAGTTTTACTTGATGATTACTAATTGATGTGCTTTATTTCTTATCTCCGTCTTTCTAGCTTTTCTATGCCGATCGGGTTCTGTTCAAAGGTAGGAGGTTGGTTGAGAGAACAACCCCTACATTTTTAGGATGGACTGACTTCGCCTTGAAGGAAAGACAGTCAGAGGAAATAAGAACAAATTCATTTGGCAAAGGTGCATTTACAGAGAGGGTTGAACTTCCAGATTCATCTCGAATGCAGAGTGCTACTGGAAACTCTCCTAAAAGTGTTGATACAATTAGAAAGGTTAGCAAATTAAGTTGCAATACTTTGTTTATTCAATTTAATCTCGAATAAGTAGGAGTGAATCTCGATTCATTTAAACTGAATGTCGATTAAGCTACATTGAATGTAATCTGGATTCACTACTACTCAATCTTGATTCACTACTATTGAAATGAATCTGGATTCACTATTACTGGATCTCGATTTATTGAAGTGAAACTGGAATGAAACTGGATTCACTACTACTGAATCTTGATTCAAATACATTGAATGTAATCTCAAACTATCGAATCTTGTCTTTCGCCATGTTAATAATTTATGGTGACCAATGTCTGTGATATTCAAAATGCAGGATTGTATTGAGAGGGTTCAACGGAGAGCTGCAGAGCTGGAATCTGCAAAAAATAGATTTGATGCTGAGTGTGAGACAATGAGAAAGCTGTTCCCCAATGACAATGAGCTCTTTCAGATTCAACAGAGAGTTTCAAATGTACTTGTGCAGGGGTGGGGACATCGTGTAAATACCTGTGACGATGAAACAGCTGTGGGAAACATTGTTGATGATACCCCTAATGTGAACACCAATGTGAGTAGAGATATGCATGGTTCCCCTGTTGTTGATCCAATATCAGGTGAGATACCACAAACACAAGTCTCCCCAAATTTTATTCAAGAAGTTGATAAGATTATAGAGTCTGTTAGCATGAAAAAGGATGACAGACCAGTGAGACGGAAGATCAGCGAATGTAGTATCCCACAGACTGAAGAACCTAGTTTTTCTCTTGGGCTGACACAAGATACTCAGACTGAATCAGTGGAAATGGTTGATGTTGTTCAGATTGCTAAAGCTTGTGAATCTGAAATCATTAATGAATCTGTACAAAGAACTGATAAACAATCTGAAGATGCTGCTGCAGTTAATGAATGTAAAGGTAAGAAAGTTCAGGTGGCCGAAAATAAGGGACATGCGGGAAGGGGGAAAGAAAAGAGGATGGTAAAGCCTGCAACGTCTCTTCGGTCACCATGGGTGCAGAGGGTATCTCAGATTACTGCTAGGCAAAGTCAGCTGGAAAGCATCATATGGGATTGGGTCCATAGAGAAATAAGGCATTCAGGTGATGATTCCGCTGAAGAAGAGAATTTGTAAGTTCTGAACACTTATTTGATATTTTATTATTAGTTGTGAGACTCGCTATTGTTGATGTTTTTTCATTAATGAATTGGTATTTTGTCCCTTTATTAAATTGAATATTGTTACTGTTTTTTCAGTGAAATGGTTTTTAAGTGGAGACAAATTGAATGTTTCTTACCTGCTTTCAAGACTTTCCTTCCTACTGATTACATTGAGGCAAATGTAATCAGCATTTGGTCCTATATTTTGAACAGCAGAGAACAAATGAAGTCTGGAAATTCTCCACTTAGATTCTTCTGCAATGTTGAGACAACCGTACGTATCTTCCTTTATTTTATTTAAAATAACACTTGAGTAACATATTATTTAACCAGTTTTATGTTGTACAGTTTTGCAACATTCATCACACAGATGAGGTCAATGATGAATTGAGATACAGTCGGTTTGCTTCTCGGATGGATGAGCAACTTGCTCTGTATCCACATATGAAGTTTAATGAGATTGATATGGTAAAGATTCGAAGACAATGTTTTTATTCTTTAGCCCAATTTTAACTATATCTGTAAAATCTCTGATTAAATTTCACAACAAATAGGTCTTCTTCCCCATAAATGCGTTTGAGCATTTCTACATTGTATGCTATGGGCTAAAGAATCCAAGTATGGAGCTGATTGACAATAGCAAAAACTGCCCAGACTACAAGGAAAAATACCAAGGTCGTCCTGAGGGTTTGGTATGTTTTTTCCACCTTACGTATGTTCTTTAAACATTAACTGGCAAAATACAGTAATAAGTGAATCCAGATTCAATATAGTGAATCTGGATTCATCCAGATTCACTGTAGTGAATCCAGATTCAATATAGTGAATCCAGATTCACTATAGTGAATCTGGAATTCACTAGAGTCAGATAATTCCAGATTAGTTAACTCCAGTGAATCTCGATCACTATAATTAGTTAATCTTGAAACTTTGATCTGTGTTCACATCACGTAATCACGATCCATATTAGCTAACTCTAGAGTCAGATAATTCCAGATTAGCGCTAGTAAATATGTGTTCACATCACGTAATCACGATCCACTAGCTATAACTAGTCATCTCAAACTTTGATCACTAGAGTTAGTGAATCTGGATTCACATCTTACTATGAATCTCGATTCAATATAGCTAGTTAATCTGTGTTCACATCACATAATCACGATCCACTACCTATAGTTAATTCTAATGAATCCAGATTCACTAATATGAATCCAGATTCATTAGAGTAAGTCCAGGTGAACTAACTCTATTAAATTCTAGCGAGCTAGATCCAATGAATCGTGATTCAATGTCATTAATACTGTTTCCATATAAACAACCAAAACAAATTGTATATTACATTAAACATTACTGTATAATAATTTGGATTTATTATGTGACAATGATTAATTTTGATTAAACAGCACCAGAATTTTGTGAGATATTTGGCAGACAAAAAACATCACAAGGCGAGTGAAATAAATACATTAACGCCTGACAGACTTGAGATGGAGTGGAGAACGGCCGAAAACAAATTTGATTGTGCTATTTTTGTCATGAGACATATGGAGACCTACATGGGCGGTGGTACAGCAAATTGGAACTCTGGTTTTCATAGAGAGGGTGTAAGTGTTTAAACTAATAATGTGTTGATAATTTACATTTAGTCTTTTTGAATTAATTAAATTTAGAATATAAAGCACATCAATTAGCTACTGAATCTTGAACTAAACTTTTATTCATATGGACAGGAGCGATTAAAAAATCAGCTACATAGACTGAGGTCTATATACTGTTGCCAAATTCTTACTGAACCAACAAATGAATTGGCCAAAGAAGTCATCAGGAAAGCCCAACTGCACCATGCTGAAACTGCCAAATTCAAAAAAGAGACGAAGAAGATCACAAGATCTCAAAGAAAATGATATTCTGAAATCAACAGAGAGTTTCAATGTTGAAGTTTACAGTTATTGAGTACATTGTCAATTAATGTTATGGAATACTCTGGTTTGTGTTGAACTGCTTTTCTATGTAAATATACTTTATAACAATAGCTTTGTCATAGTTTTAGTTCGGATTATATGAAAATATTGTGAAGGTAGTGAATGCTAATGGAAGAATTTCGATTACAGCATAGAATGTGAGTTATAATTCAAGCTTTTATGTAACATACAATAAATTGATCATACTTATTGTGGATTGTATGTATTTAATCTTGGATCACTGTTTTAATATTATCTTAAGTTATTATCTTAAGTTTCACTAATTTGTTGAATCTGGACTCACTTTGCTAAATCTCAATACACTTGGTTCAATCTCGATTCACTAAAGTGAATCTAGATTCACTTTAGTGAATCTCGATTCACTAAAGTAAATCTCGATTCACTTAAAGTGAATCTCGATTCACTTAAAGTGAATCTCGATTCACTACAGTGAAACACTATTGACTACAACTATAGTGAATCCAGATTCAATAAAGTGAATCTCGATTCACTACACTAAAAATTCAGTAAGTCAATATTATCTTAGTCACTACACTATAGTGAATCCATATGCAGATCATTGAATCCAGATTCACTACAATGAATCTATATTCATTATAGTTAGTCCAGAATAACTTAAACCGAAACAATCAAGTAATTTGATTGTTTGATTGATTATAAAGAATCCCTATAGTGATATCGAAATTCAATATCAGATAATCTAGATTCACTGCGATCAATCTAGATTCAATATAGTTAGTCCAGAATCACTTAACGCGAATTAAATTTTAACTGATGACTGCATACAACGACTTTATCATTCCTGCTTAAATAATACAACTAATAATAATGGAATTCACATGCTATATGAGTAGATCTCAATTCAATATACTAACATGACACAATGTAACCATATAATTAATAATCTAGTAAATATATATAGTTAAGAATTACAAAATTTAGCAATTTTAATAAGAAATGTATTCCTAAAAATGATTCTATAACGAATTATGACAACAAAATTAAACATCACTCTGCTGTATTGTTTTCTTTAATAGGCATGTCCGTGCGTCATGGAAATCGATTTTTTTGCACATATTACACAGCCTTGGCACCTTTTTCTTTCGTTGAGTAATTGATTTCTCATAATCACCAACAATTCTCCGTCCACACCCCTTGTTTCTACCTTCAATGGGAGGTTTAACAATCACTTCAGCTGGTATTTTTGAGCCAACAAAAAACTCCATTACATCATTTTTGTTCTGTGTGTCAAATTTCCAACTAGATTCACGCAAACTGTGCTTCAACTCCTTCAACTTCCCTTCCAGGTAGTCAAGTCTCTCACCATCTAAACCTGCCAAACTCACACAGGATTGGAAATCATACCATATGTCATTCAACTTGCGATTTGTAACTTCAATTGCATTGCACTGTTCTGATATTTCCTTGAACTGCAATGAATGCCTCATCTCAGCACCTTTTGTCCATCGGTTCACAACAAGATGCCTTGGAATTTTTGTTACATCAGCTTGGTTCAGTGCAAAAAAACCATGTCTACATACTATACCTATTTTCTCAAACAGCCTACACGTACATTGCACGTCATTGTTCAAGTAAGCGTGTTTCACCTAAAATTCAAAAAACAATGTATATTAGCACCGAATAAAAAAAGTAAATGACAAGCACATGTAATGGTCACTGAATCGCGATTCAGTGTTGTGAATCGAGATTCACTACACTGAATCGCGATTCATTGCATTGAAAATATATTCAATTTTTATTGTTTCAATATCCATTATTAAGTTTTACCTCAAATATTTTTCCATGTCTCTTTTTGTCCTTTATGGAATAAATCTTCACGCCCTCTTCTTCAGATATACTGTTGATACTCATATCATAACAAGATGACATTATCTCACTTTGTACCTCATAAAACATTGTTCGAGTGTACAACTCTGCTGCATCCCTCTCCAATAACAATGGTGTGTCCATTCTTGGCATCGTTTTCGTTCCTTCATAGTTTAATCTTGCGTTTGTATGCCTTTGCTTCTCCATAGCACTCTCGTATCGGAGATAAAATTCCGTTAATGTGTCAGATCTACGGTTGAATTTGTCAAAGAAACTGTTCTCACTCTCTGATATTGATGTAGTCCGCAATAAACCGGCCATTGGATCATCAGCATAATAGGCTGGAATCCATGACTCCCGAATGTTATACAGTTCACACAACCATTCATTACTTTCAAGCTTATATTCTTTCATAACATCTTTCCAACCGACTTCAAATGTTGCTGGATCTATATCTATACTCCAAATCAGTGCATTGATCTTCCTCTTGAAATCATCCATCTTCGAAATGCATTTTGCCAACTACAATATAAATATATAACGAAAGATTCAGTATTTATCTAATGAGGATTCATTATATTTATATGTGGGATTCATTACCTTTTGGTTAAATTTCTTCATGATGTGCCACATGCACAAACGGTGACGTGCTTCTGTAAAGACGGTTGATATAGCTTGCTTCATGGCAGGGCACTGATCTGTAACAATACACTTTGGCTCGCAAATCATGCATTTAATGAATACCTCGAAAATCCAGACATAGTTATCAATGTCCTCTTTAGCTATCAATCCTGCTGCAAATACAACACACTTCTTA